TAATACTTAATTTTACTACTCTTTCCTCTATTGAAAATTCGAATACTTTGAATACATTTAATTACAGAGAGTAAATTTGGTTCTTCAAATTTGAAGAGTCAAACTCACCCCCTATTTTAAAAACGTTAATTTGAAGAGTCTATCGAAGTATCATTTTAAGGGTTGACTCTTATATTTAAATAATCTCTTGAAAATGCTCTAATATTAATATTTTTTTAATAATTGATTTAAATTAGAAATTAATAAAAATGAATGATGAATAAGTTGACGATACTTGTAGATCTTATGAAATGTGAACTTTTAAAAAGAAGCAAGTTAAACTCAATATTTTATTATACTTTCTTACTTACACTTCAGTACCTAACTCTTATTAAATTGTTATATGTCCTCCCATGTTGTCAAAAAAAAATTGTTATGTGCCTTTTAAGATTTACCAATGATGCTAAAAATTCTCATTTTTATTTTTTGGGTACCAACTTAGGCTTGATCCAAATTTAGACCCCCGTTTGACACCTATTATTTTCTCATTCTCATTCTTCATTTCAACCACACATTCTCCAAATTAAATAATATTACACACAAATAAAAAAAATTTCATCACTTTGCTACCACACATTCTCACATTAATCACAATTCCAAAATTTCTATACTCCTCAAAATTAGATTCAAACACAAGCTAACTTTATAAAGATGCGCATAAAAGATAAAAAGAACTACTTAATGATATAAGCCATTGTTTGACACCCATTTTATGAAAGAAATTGATTTGGAATAGTGATTGATGGAAGAATTGGTGGTTAAAAAGTAAGGAGAATTTTTGGATTTATGTGTAATATTATTTTATTGATAAAATGTGTGGTTGAAATGAAGAAAGACAAAAAAAGGAGAAAGTCAATGAGAAAAACAATGGATGTCAAACAAGGGCTAAGTCAAGAGATTCATTTGGTCTAAATTAATGTTAATTAATTAAGAATTAATAACATGAAAGTCTTGCATGATAAGGATTTTATAATATTTATTACATATTGAAAAACGAAAAGTAATATTGAAATAATTGAATTGTAGTAGGGTTAAAATCGTCCAAAAATTGATTCTCACATGATGTGATATTTAATATATTATAGATAATTAATTACTAGTCTTTGACACGTCTGCTGCACGAATTTTGTATTTGTTGTGATTTTATTAGTGTAAAAATTGTAGATATTTAAAAAAAAAGTAGTTTAAAATTTATTGGATTATTCAAGAGTCTTGGGAGCATATTATTAATTCACTGCTACTCCATCTAACAAGGTGATTATTTCAAAAGCTGATATTAATGTACAAAGAAACTCACCAAAAATAAAATTGAAAACATTACGTGTATGTAAATAATAATAGAAACTTTTGACATACATAAAAATTGCAGGTTTAGATGAATAAGAAATATTTGATTAAATCTACTATAAACACCAAACAATATTGAAATAAAAGAGAAATAACGATCTCAATAAAATCTAAATCTGTAGCATAAGTACAGGAAAAAAGGAATAAAAATGTATCGATGATGAAAAATTATACGGTTAAATATAAGAAAATGAAGTATAAGAAGAACACACAATATGGAATGAGTTAAAAATATTTATGAGAAATAACCTTTAGCGCATTAGGAAAAATAATTAACATACCTATTAGTATTCTCCATCATATTTTGTACCTCAGGCAACTTAGTTTCTACCACAATAGTCAACTCTGTATGCACCTTATCAAATAAATTTTCAACACATACAAGTTGACCAGATTAGAAACTATACACATCATTAAACTAAAAAGGAAATCCTTATAAGAAAGTATATTTTAACAAATTCGTCGAATATTTCAGACCATGTTCCACTTTTTTGGTATTTACAAAAATCTGTTTTCTTACACTTAAACATTAATTCAACAGATTAAGCAACAGCTATAGCCTGTAACTGAAAACCACTCCTTTTCTAGAATGAGAAG